CATCCATCCATCCATCATCTGTCTGTCTACCTATCTATATCCTTTAATCTTTCAACTATCAATCTATTATCTACCTACCTACCTTCATGGATTTATCAATAGCTCATTTATCTTTCATCTATCTATCTTTCTTTCTTTTGTCTATTATCTATCTATCTATCTATCTATCTAATCTTTTGTCTATATATCTATATCTACCTATCATCTATCTATCTATCTATCTATCTATCTATCTATCTATCTATCTATCTATTGTCTAGCTCTAGCTCTATTATCTATCTATCTATCTATCTATCTATCTATCTATCTATCTATCTATCCATGTTGATCTAGCTACTGTCTACTTACCTGTTATATTTTTTACCACCTCCTATAATTCTTTCTCTCACCTATCCACCAGTATCTACCTTTCCATTTGTCTAGTTCAATCAGAGTGCCCCTTGGAGACAAAGACGGTGAAGCTTTGTCTTTCATACTTTGGACATGTAGCTAGGTGAGGCTCTTCCTTTGAAAGATTTAGGGTCAGTGAAAGAGAGGAAGACACCCAATAAGATGGATTGACACGGTGACTTCAGCAATAGGATCTAGCGTTTCAGGGACGATGAGAATAGCACAGGGCAGGACAGGGTTCAGGTTGGCTGTTCATAGTGTCACTAGGAGTCGTGCTTGACTCAACAGCACTTAACAACAATAACAACATCTATTTACCTACTTCTCCATTTAAATTATCTCTCTCCCACCTACTGATCACTTATCTATCAATCCATCCATCCTTCCGTCTGGCTCTAACATTTGCAGGACACTTTACAGACTTTCCCCCTAGTAAGTGGATTCGCTGCATCTTCACCAGGAAAGAGAGTTTATACTAATGTTACATATGAGAACACTGGGCCTTTGGGAGGTCGAGCAGGTTGCTGGAGGGGCTGAGAAGGCAGTGCAGGACCCAGGGCCTGGCCTGTGGCCCCTTAGACCTCTATGGTGGTTCCTGGAGGCTCAGAAGCTACATCTCCCCACGGTGCATTTGGATGCTAACACACATAAGAGTCCTGCCTCATTCGGTAACGCCCGAGTCACAATTACTTTAACAGGACTGACTGCAGGACTGCTGGGAACCCTGTCT